TTTCCTTTTTTTTTCCTTTTTTCCTTTTTCAACGTTTGTCCAAGTTTTCTTTGTGTTTACTATTCTTTTATACTTTATACTCTTATTCTTCAAACTACTTATTTCCAGATTCTAGGATATTTAACTTTTTTAAAAATACAACTTATAATTTTGTTTTGCTTTCCCTGCATCAATTTTTACGTTGTATATTTATTTGCAGTACATATGAAAACGTATATTTGTTTTTTTGAAAATTTATTTGTCTCTATAAGTTTGTAAATCTTGTAAGTCTCTCTTGCATGTTACTCATTAGATGTACGTCTTTGTATTTTCTACTTTTTTTTTTTATTTAATATATGCTACCAATTATTGTTTTTGTTTTGTTTTTTGGTTGAATCATCTATTATAACAACATATATATTTTTCTCAATAGTTCATTTTCGATCTGTGTATGTATTTCAGTTCAATTTTGAGGCAACGGTTTTCTGTTGCAGTATCGGCAAGCAGTTAAATCACCGCAACCACTTGCATTTCAACAGAAGCAGAGATCTTTTCTGACCTTTGGGTTCGGTGCGGGACCAGCTAGAAGGGAGTCTCATGTAAATGTTAACGTAACACCAACGAGTCATGATCTAGCTTCTGACACACCTGAGATACGTAAATACAAGAAACGATTCAACAGTGAAATTCTCTGTGCTGCACTTTGGGGTAAATACATTATATAAAGAACTATATAAAGAATATTTTAAGAATAGTCTATAAACATTATCTTACATTATTTTATCTAATTCTTAATAATTAAGTCGACATTTTAATTGCAGGAGTTAATCTACTAATTGGCACCGAGAACGGGCTTGTGTTGTTAGATAGAAGTGGTCAAGGCAAAGTATATCAGTTAATAAGTAGAAGACGATTTCAACAAATGGAAGTTCTTGAAGGACAAAATATTTTGGTTACAATTAGCGGGAAAAAGAATCGAGTACGGGTATATTATCTTTCTTGGCTTAAAAGTAAAATCTTGCGAACCGATGGACATAGCGATGTAAGTTACCTTTTGCTGATTAATCAATTTTGTTGATTGACTAATTTAATATACATATGTTGTCTATATATATTGAAATGAATTTAATATACCTGAATATTTTTTTATATTGTAGCAAGTTGAACGACGTAATGGTTGGATTAATGTTGGCGATCTTCAAGGTGCGGTACATTTTAAAATAGTCAAATACGAGAGAATAAAATTTCTTGTCATTGCACTAAAAGATTCCATAGAAATTTACGCCTGGGCACCAAAACCTTATCATAAGTTTATGGCTTTTAAGTCATTTGGCGAACTAGCGCATAGACCATTACTTGTCGATCTTACTATAGAGGAAGGTACAAGATTGAAAGTTATTTATGGCAGTGCTGATGGTTTCCATGCCGTTGATTTAGATTCAGCTACGGTTTATGATATTTATCTGCCAAAACACGTAAGAAAATATTTGAATAATAAGAATTTAAAATAGTTTATTTAATTTAATACTTTTCCATGTACTTAAATTAGGAGGTTCGAGAGGATATTTAGAATAAGAGATTCATTCTTAATTACAGACTCAGGGTCCTATTTGTCCACATTGCATCGTGGCATTGCCAAATAGTAATGGCATGCAGTTATTGCTTTGTTATGATAACGAGGGTGTATATGTAAACACTTACGGTAGACTTTCCAAGACCATGGTCCTTCAATGGGGCGAAATGCCTACTAGTGTTGCATACATTGGTACCGGACAAATTATGGGCTGGGGTAACAAAGCTATTGAGATTAGAAGCGTAGAAAGTGGACACCTCGATGGTGTGTTCATGCACAAGAAAGCTCAACGGCTCAAGTTCCTTTGCGAGCGTAATGATAAGGTACGTATATGTATATGCATATATATGTTATTATATAAACATTGATACAACAGAATGTGACCGAATATTATATATATGCGGGTGAGATGTGATTCCTTGTCAAAGAGTAGTAATAAAAATTAACAAAAAGTTATTCTTTTTTTATAATTACTGTTTTCTGTCATGTTTTATTAAATTAATTAAATTCAAGTATACTTGATAAATTTTCAAACTTTAGATTTTCTCGAAAGCTGAGCCTCTTATTTTTTTATAAGAAATCACATTCTATACAACAGTGTTTCTTAATCTTTATGGAATCACGGTTCTTGAAGTCTTCTTTTTTGAGATAACTTGATCTCAACTCGTGAATATTTTTCCATTTTTTTTTTTTTTAAATAGCACTTTAATATAAATGATTATATACTATTGAAAGAGTCAATCATACTACTTAAAGAGTAGATACTTATTGCAACTGATTAAACTTAAAACTTTATTTGAGGTAATGAGACTTCTGTTGCTGTTTATTTAGCTTGTTAATTTTAGAATAAATTGAAATGATAGCTAAGGGGAGACAGTCAGAAAATTGCAAGCGTCTGTTTCGTTTTAAGGACAGTCAAAAGTGTGGAAAAACAAAAAAAAAAAACTCATTTTCTTGTAAATTTAGATATTTACTTTTCAGAACTGTTATTCAGAATTTCGAATTTATAGAATTAACACTATGACTTGGTATTGTAAAATCATTGAATGCTATTAGCATACCGTTTGTGTCGTGTACAAGGCAATAATTAGTTACAGATAGCACTCATACAGAATCATATTAGCAGATTTTCTTGCTTTTAATTGTTGAAGCTTGCTGACGCCAACGATCACCGAATTATACCCTGCTCGAATATCCTGGTATAATCTACAAATCATCTGTAGAATAATTTTTAAACAGCATTATAACAATCGAATCTGCTTGGCTGCAAGCAACTTCAGAATATAAAATAATGGTAAAAAACAATCTCAATCTCCTCAACTCACTGCTTCAAGAAACTGCGTCAGTCACTCTTTAAAATAAAAGGTCGAATTCAACTCTCAACTAAATTAATTAAATTAAACTACGTGTCTTAACTCATTTCAATGCGGCTATGTTACATTGCATTATGATTTAACACACGGTGCCGCATGCCACGGTCGGTCAAAAAATCGTTTACGCGCCGACATATAGAGCAGTCCAGCAAGGCGCTCAGATTTGTACCATCGCGCGAATAATACTACATTTATTATTATAAAATTCATAGAATTTGATTAATGTCTTGACAAATACAATTTTTTACAGATACAAACATTATAATTGAATATATTATAACAAAAAAACTGAAGCTTCCGAGATATGTAATATGCTTTTCATGCTTGGTTCGAAAGATTCATCGAGTAGGACTTGTGTTTTTTATGTTTTTAGGTGATAAAGCGTATTACGAGTCTCGTACATTGTTATAATGCAAGAAGTTAATTTACAACACAGATACACAGCGAGTCGTTCTTAATCACCTCTCACGTGGAACGCGACTCAACATTAATTTTTTAAAAATGAAATTGAGCTCTTTGATGATGGGAAAAGAAGATACGTTTATACAGGATAAATGCGTCGACAGATATTCCAATTGAATTTGAGGATTCTGTAGAAAAAGAAGACTTTACATATTCAGATAAAGAATTACGTGACGTACAGTCTTCGAATTACTGCGAAATACATATGCAAAGAATTCGAATCCTATCATTGCCAAGTGACATAAAAGAATCGGATGAAGATAATGATATAGAATGATCAGATTTTACTGAAAAATAGTAATGAATTAGAAGAGTCTTCAAGATCCTATATTTCCCAGAGATATACAAAACGTGGAAAATTTCGCAGATGTATTCATTGAAAATTGAATTATTGTATGGAGTTGAATTATTTGAATTTATTATTTAGTATGGAAATGAATATATGCTACATACAAAATTCCAATAGGAACAAGTTATATAAAAAAGAAAAATACTAAATTTTTCGATGTTACCATACGC